ACTTTGATAAGAAATAGGGATTTAGTAGCAGGTAGTCTTAATTACTATTGGCAAAATGCCTTAATTTACATTTCTAAGAGTCCAGAAGACTTAAATATAAGTTTCAAAATGGCTTTAATCTAGTTACTGTTAATTCTGAAGTCATCACAGAAAATCTAAAAACCAACTGTGGATTATGGGAAATTTTGATTCATCTGCAAATCCATCATATTCTAGGCAATTTACTTAACATCTAATGGCCTCTAGTTTCTCATCTGTGAAATGGGGATTATAAATAAGCACCTGATAGAGTTGCCTTGACGATTTAATGATGTAACATATTTCTCAAATGGCTGAATATAATAAACATTCAATAAAGTTTCCCCATCCCTCACCCATGTCTGCATATCTACTATTTGCTTCATGTTTTCAGTGCTGAGGCATAAATGAAATTGAATAAGCAAAATATGCTCTAATTAAGGCAATAAACATTCTTGAGATGTAATTAGTACATATTATATTATTATAATATATTCTTACAATATAATTAGTATATAATATATAGCAAAGAGCCATAATACTAAGCAATGATAATAATAATACTCATTGAAGACTTACTTTTGTGTCAGGCACTATGTCTTACATGCATTTATTTTCATTTAATTTTCATATCAGTCCTGTGATTTAGGCATTATTGTCATCATAATCATCCCCGTCTTACAGCTGAAATGCTGAGGCTTAGACTAATTGCCTAAGTACCATCTAACGCTAATCTTGGTCTGCTAACTCCTGATTCCATTGACTAGGTGCTTTGACTAGTTGGAATCAGTGAAGAAAACAAGGAAGATGGTAATATCTCTGTCTGAGCTTAGAGAGACGGTGTATCAAAAAAATCACAAGCCAGGGCCCTAGACCTGCACTGTCCAGTATGGTAGCTACTAACCACATGGAACTATTAAGGACTTGAAATGTGGCTCTCATCTGGGTGCAGTCCTTGCTCTACTGCTTACTAACTATGCGAATAGCAAGTTACTTACCCTCTATGCCTTTCATCTGAAAATGGGATAACAGCACCTACTTCATAGGGCCATTATGAGGTAAGGGAATTGATATTTGTAATAGGCTCAGTGTCACCCGTCAATATTTTAAGCCCTCTATATATGCTTAAAAGAGGAAAATCAGCAAGATTTAGTGGTTTACCTCACTGTAGAGGTCAAGAGAGAGGAGGTGTCTAGTAAGTCCAAGTTATGAACTTAGGTGACTAGAAGGACGACTCACAATACCATAAGAAATGAGAAAAATGAGGTGGTTGGAGTCAGTTTATTGCAGAATCATTTCCAATACCAAAAGGCGACAAACAACCTAAACCTCCATCAGTAGGAGGGTGGTCACATTCATCTAACAGATCCTTAAGGCAGCTGAATGAAGAGAGGGGTTTTATATACTAATATGGAACTGTCCACAATGTATACTTCTAAGTGGAAAATCAAGGTATGTATAATATGTTAGTTACTATTTGCTAAAAAGAAAACAAAGGGGGCAAATACATATATTTGTTTGAATATGCATGGAGTATCTCCGGAAGGGGTAACAAGAAACTTATTCCTTGCCTCTGAGGAAAAAAAGTAGGTGACTGGGATATAGGGATGAGAGAGATTGACTTTTTTCTGTGTGTCTTTCTGTACCTTTTGAATTTTGAATCTTGTGAATCTAATACTTACAGATAATCAAAATCTCTGATAAACTAGTTTCCAGTTGGTAAGTGTAAAGGGGGAGTTAACTGAGGGAAGATGACATAAGGAATGGGAAGATGACTGGAATGACCCCCAGGAGCGACTTGGAGATGTAGGGTCAAGCTCTGGTTTTCAGGCTAAATGCCTATTGCATTAATTATTTTTCTGTCCTCTAATTTTAAGAAAAAGGCAAATACAAGATACCACCTAATAAAAATTCAACTGCCATTCCATTAGGTTCAGGTGAACATTTCTGTGGGAACTCAGCTCTCTGCTCTCCTGCTGTCATGCTGTCAGGCTGGTAAACCACCTAAGAAAAAAGATGCCCTTCTGTGTTTGGAAATCTCATTCTAGTTATGGAAATAAATATATAAACTCCTGATTACATGACATGATAAGACCTATAATAGAGGGATAAGCTGGGGAACTAGTTATGCCTAGTGGGAAGGGCTGGTCAAGAAGGTTTCAGACATGGAAGTAGCATTGGTACAGACCTGGAAAGATAAGTTTAATAGCAGAGAGCTTGGAAGTGACTATCCAGATGGAAGAAGAGGCAAGGTGAAGGAGGAAGGTGTGCAGGTATGATGGTATATTCAAAGAGCAGTAAGTCACTCAGGGCCAGTAAGCCAGTGTTTAAGTATGGGTGGAAGTCAAGAGGCAAAAGCTAGGTTTGTGGATGTGCCATGACCATATAAAGAACAGCTCTCACACATTGTGGCTGTCTTCTGTGTCCCTTGGATTATGGATGAAAACTTTCATATGTAAATGGAGTTGCTTAGCAAACATACGTTTGCAAAGAGCAAGAGTTGACGCCTGAGAAATAGCTGAATGGTGGGACATATAGGGCATGTTCTATGTTTATGGAACTAAAAGTCATCCGGTATAGCCCAAGTGGCCAGGCCGGGGCTGGCAAGAGGATTGGAGAGGTGGGCAGCATCTAGCTCACAGGAAGCTTTTTACTGGACTTCATCCTGTAGGTGGGAGATAGAAAGCCATCCTGTTTAGGGAGACAGGATGTGGAGAGGATTAAGGACAAGAGCCTGAGGGTCAGAATGGGAAAGAAGCTTAGCTGGACAGAAACATGGAAGGCAGAGGAGAGCTGCGTGTGTGTCTGGAGGGCCTGGGCCTGAAAGAGAAACTGCATGAATGTTTATATTTGGTGTTTAGGGCAAAGAGGTTGAAAGAGGGGAGTCACATAAACAGGAAACATTTACGAAGAGCACCCCCACAGCTGTGTGGCAAGTGATCGAAAGAGAACAAGACCAGAGAAGGACAGGAAAAGTGGTCAGGAGGAAGGGGCCCCAACTCAGGTGAGCAGTGGTGAGATCCTGGAGGTAGAGGTGGCAGCCTGTGGGAAGGTGGGCCACATGTGCCACTTTATGCCTGTTCCAAGTTACTTTTATTAAGAATCATGACACTTAGGGTGTCAAATAAATTTTTTTCCATTGACTCTGTGTCCTGTCCCCCCCTACATTAATGCTACCTATTCTTAGCATGAATATCTTTTCCTTGGGTATGCCTCCTTCAGCCCTCTAGACTGGGTGTCCCCAGATCATCCTGTATGTCCCCAATTGTAGCTCTCCCCATGCTTTCTTTTATTTCTGGGTCAGCTGTCTGCCTCCTCTCCTAGACCATATCCTTCATAGGACTTTTTTTTTTTTTTGAGACAGAGTCTCACTCTGTCACCAGGCTGGAATACAGTGTCGCAATCTCGGCTCACTGCAACCTCCACCTCCTGGGTTCAAGCGATTCTCCTGCCTCAGCCTCCTGAGTAGCTGGGACTATAGGCACGCACCACCAAGCCCAGCTATTTTTTTTTTTTAATATTTTTAGTAGAGACGAGGTTTCACCATGTTGGCCAGGATGGTCTTAATTTCATGACCTCATGATCCACCTGCTTTGGCCTCCCAAAGTGCTGGGATTACAGGCACAAGCCACCACGCCCAGCCAAGGGCAGGGACTCTTTCTTGATGCTGTCAACACTAGTGTCTAGTACAGTAGGTAGACATAATACAGGTGCATAGTGGATGCACCATAATTTGTTAATACATGCATAAATGAATTATTAATTCAGATATGTAGGGTCTCTGAATTAATAATTCATTTATTGTTAGTTCAACATTTTAAAAATTTGTTGCAAAATAATGATTATCTCTCCCCCCGCCCCATACAGTGTGATATGTTTTAGGAACAACAAATGCCAATTAACAAATAATATACTATTTTAATGATTACTTTAATTTTTACAGATATCACTCTATACTTCTAATTTTTAAAATAAACTAAAAAATAAATAGCACACATTTAAAACAAACATTTGTAAATAGTAAAGTCAGTTCTCTGACTGTTTGTTTTGAAACAAAACCAAATTGCTGAGCTTAGAATTGAAAAGCCCTTAAAGTTTGTTCCCTTCCTCTTAACTGTTCACACGGAAATCCGTGGACACTCTCCGGCCTCTCTTCTGTCGTCAGGCACACTTGTGTCAGCAGTCTGCTCATGAGGGGTGCTATCAGGAGGCCTCCTCCATCATCCTCCCGCTGTTAAAATTATCTCAGTCTCCCCATAAGCCTCAGTGCAAGTTTGGTCTTTGTGGCATTTTTCTTGGTTGATGTGGACATCCTAGAAGTTCATGTCAGTCATGGCTAGTCCAGACCTCCCCTCCTCTGGGTGAAGAAACTTGCCTTGAAGAGCAGCTCTCCTCACAGGGCCTCAAGCTTCCTCAGTTCTCGCTAGCTCCCTCCTCCCCACTTAACATGTAACACACAGGCCACACAACTCACCACCTGATTCTACACAGTCTTATTCTTTGGTTGTCTTTTATATTTAGTCTCATTTGTCTAACAAGGTGAGTCATGTGACACATCAGTGCTCTCTCTGGCCCCCACCAGCACCAGGATAACATGTGATGTGATAGGAGAAGCCAGGTGGTAAGCACTTCCTAACGCGAGTATGAAATGGACATTGCCCCCAAGAAACATTTCATTTAGCTCAGCCTTTTTGGCCCTGGAGGTCCTTCCTGGACTTACACACTGACTTCAATACAGAGAGTTTAAATAATGAAAGGATCATATGTTTCTGGTATATGCCACTCCATGCCCGAATTTTGGGGAGCTTTTCTCTGAGCGACTGACTCATTTTGTTGACTGAATCTGATGAGGGCTTGACCTCCTACTGTTGAGAGACAGGAATGAGTTACCATGACAGGACATTTGCCATGTTTACAGTGTCTCTTTGTTTTTATTCTCCCTGTTTCTCACCATTCAGCTTATTTGTTTTCCCTCCTCTTAGGATTGCCCCCTGTGGGTCACTTTCTCAGTCATTTTGAGTTCAGCCTAATAAAAGACTGAGGTTATGAAGTCGATCCTAGATGGCCTTGCAGATACCACCTTTCGCACCATCACCACAGACCTCCTCTACGTGGGCTCCAATGACATTCAGTACGAAGACACCAAAGGTGACATGGCATCCAAGTTAGGATACTTCCCACAGAAATTCCCTTTAACTTCCTTTAGAGGAAGTCCCTTCCAAGAGAAGATGACTGCGGGAGACAACCCCCAGCTAGTCCCAGCAGACCAGGTGAACATTACAGAATTTTACAACAAGTCTCTGTCGTCCTTCAAGGAGAATGAGGAGAACATCCAGTGTGGGGAGAACTTCATGGACATAGAGTGCTTCATGGTCCTGAACCCCAGCCAGCAGCTGGCCATTGCAGTCCTGTCCCTCACACTGGGCACCTTCACGGTCCTGGAGAACCTCCTGGTGCTGTGTGTCATCCTCCACTCCCGCAGCCTCCGCTGTAGGCCCTCTTACCACTTCATCGGCAGCCTGGCGGTGGCAGACCTCCTGGGCAGCGTCATTTTTGTCTACAGCTTCATTGACTTCCACGTGTTCCACCGCAAAGATAGCCGCAACGTGTTTCTGTTCAAACTGGGTGGGGTCACAGCCTCCTTCACTGCCTCCGTGGGCAGCCTGTTCCTCACGGCCATCGATAGGTACATATCCATTCACAGGCCCCTGGCGTATAAGAGGATTGTCACCAGGCCCAAGGCCGTGGTGGCATTTTGCCTGATGTGGACCATAGCCATTGTGATCGCCGTGCTGCCTCTCCTGGGCTGGAACTGTGAGAAACTGCAATCTGTTTGCTCAGACATTTTCCCACACATTGATGAAACCTACCTGATGTTCTGGATCGGGGTCACCAGCGTGCTGCTTCTGTTCATCGTGTATGCATATATGTATATCCTCTGGAAGGCTCACAGCCACGCAGTCCGCATGATTCAGCGTGGCACCCAGAAGAGCATCATCATCCACACGTCCGAGGACGGCAAGGTACAGGTGACCCGGCCGGACCAAGCCCGCATGGACATTAGGTTAGCCAAAACCCTGGTCCTGATCCTGGTGGTGTTGATCATCTGCTGGGGCCCTCTGCTTGCGATCATGGTGTATGATGTCTTTGGGAAGATGAACAAGCTCATTAAGACAGTGTTTGCATTCTGCAGTATGCTCTGCCTGCTGAATTCCACCGTGAACCCCATCATCTATGCTCTGAGGAGTAAGGACCTGCGACATGCTTTCCGGAGCATGTTTCCCTCTTGTGAAGGCACTGCACAGCCTCTGGATAACAGCATGGGGGACTCAGACTGCCTGCACAAACACGCAAACAACGCAGCCAGTGTTCACAGGGCTGCAGAGAGCTGCATCAAGAGCACGGTCAAGATTGCCAAGGTAACCATGTCTGTGTCCACAGACACGTCTGCCGAGGCTCTGTGAGACTGATGCCTCTCTGGCAGCACAGGAAAAGAATTTTTTTTTTTTTAAGCTCAAAATCTAGAAGAGTCTGTTGTCTCCTCGGTTATATTTTTTTAATTTTACCATGCTGAGTGAAAAGGTGATTGTCACCATGATCACTTATCAGTTTGCTAATATTTCCGTAGTTTAGGTACTCAAACTCCATTCTCCAGGGGTTTGCAGTGAAGAAAGCCTGTTGCTTAAGTGACTGAACGATCCTTCAAAGTCTCAGTGAAATAGGAGGGAAAACCTTTGGCTACACAATTGGAAGTCTAAGTACCCATTGAAAAATGCCATCAAATGAGTAATGCCTTTGTAACCACAACTTTCATTATAATGTGAAATGTGACTGTCCATAGTATCAGAGATGTCCATTTTTACAACCATTATAATACTAAAGTAGAGATATTTTGTAAAGTGTATTATGTCCTGTGAGATGTGTATCAGTGTTTACTACGTGTTATTAATATTTGTTTAGTTCAGCAAGACTGAAAGGTAGACTTTTATGAGAACAATGGACAAGCAGTGGATATATGCCAATGAGAACACTTTTTTTTCTACATTATTCCCTGTGATACAACTTTAGAAATAAACCTTAATATTTCTTCAAATATCTCTATTTAATTTTGACACTGAAATAACCATAAATATTTATTTTTCTGTTACCTCGACAAGAAGAATTTGAAGACTTCAAAGTATTGAGCAGAATTCACTCATACTTAAAAATTTATTAGTTCTGCATTTTCATAGGAAGATACTTATTATCTTCTGGACTATAGCTGTTCTAATGGATTATAATCAGAACGGAAGAGAGAAAACATATTGACTTTTTTGAGTGACATCTCTGACTTTCTTTAGTCTTTAGCTATTACTGGATCTCTTAAGACAGCATGTGTTAATGTATATTGTTATCACTGTGCAGTTGCTGTTTACTTGAATAGTATTGTGTTCCTATATTCCAGGTTTAAGTAGATTTCATGCCTGGGTGGCCAAACAACAGTCATTTTTTTTTAATTGAAAAGAAGTATTGTCTGGATCAGTAAAATTATACTGTGTGTGAGTGTGAATATAAATGTGTGTGTGTTTCTCTTCCGTAACTGTTACAGTAATGTTATAAAGTGAGAAAACTGTGACCCAGTATAAACTGTTGCCACTTGCTGCACTCTTGCACATGAATTCGGTTCTAAAATGGAGTTCTTCCTGGAACCTTGTTGATAAAAATACTCACTATAACCATTCAAAAAATTCACCCCATCCCTGCTTAAGAGATTGGATCAAGTATTACTAAATTGACCTTTAGATATTAAATAAGACCAGTGTTTAACAAGAAATAATGACAGATATCCAAGTAAAGCCTGCATTTATAGTGTTATTATCAGGAAAAGAGAATACTTTGGTTTCTGAGTGCCTGATATTGAGCAAGGTGTTAGTCACTAAAAGGAAGATAGTTCTCCAAAAAAAAAAATGTAAAATTTTTCAATTGTGTGTGTAGGTAGTGTGCACTATATACATCATGTTTAAGTAGGACTGTCACACGCAGCCCATGTGGCTAAAAAGGCTGAGTCAGACAGTAGATGAGTCTAGATATGCTTCTTCTGTGCTTTGCCCACATGCCTTTGGTGACAGCCGAGCACCCAACTTTGTCTTGGTATGTTTGGGCTAAGGAACAGACCTCTCCTTTGCTCATGGTCAGCAAGATATACTAAAGCATGAAGATAAACACAGCTTCTTTCTTATACCCCAGTCTCATACTCCTTAATGATGCAATGGGTGCTCATTGTTGGGCCTTTTTCTAGTAAGGAATGATACTGCTGAAGAAGCTACTCAACCCTGATAACTTTTATTTATAATCTCTTCTTATACAGATAAAGCATGACTCCCGCAAGGCCCCAATGTCTACATAGTGTGAAGTAGAGAGCTGGCATCTATCTGGTGATTTCCAGCTCTCAAGATACCCAAGCAGCCTGATGGGGTAGTTCCCCTTCTTGCAGTTCACTCTCTAAGGCAGGATGTGGCCTGTGAGTTACTTTGCATTGCCTGTCTGAACACTTTGAATCTGTCTGCTGGTTCCCTTATTTTACCTCTCTGTGATGTGCGGATGAGGGCTCAGGGTGCTAGAGAATTAATAAGATCTCTTTCAAAGGAGAGATTATTTACAAGTTTCCATTTAAGATTGCCAGTCTTTTGTCCTGCCTCATCTGGAATATTAATCCACACGTTTCAGAGCTCACCAGGCAGTACCAATGTTCTTTTCACGGCTATGAAGAGCTAGTAGAGGTGAAATTCTTGTTATGGTATAAAAATTTTAGGATTCACTTTTGAAACTGCATTTGTGCATATGCAATGTAGATTTTATAGTGTGTTGTGCTTTCAAGATCTAAATCATATATAATCAATTAAGGGACAATGGGGCTGACAGCACTAAACTTGGTGCTTATTGATATTCTAAAAAATATCTGTGAAATCTCATCACGTATGTCTTACACAATCTTCATTTAAAAACATTTAAAACTAGTTGGATTCACTTTGACATTTTTCATATCATTTATTAACCCAAGTGACGAAAATGTTGTCCCCAATGAATATACTCATTAGAATTACCATTCGTTAGTATCACTCATTAATTAGCCCCATAATTAGATCCATTAATTTAAATATGATTTAAATTTAAGTAAATTTTATAACGTCTGACATCAGAGGTATCTTACTTTTCTCTGAGGATAACGTATTTGCCCTGACCATGAATTTTCTTATCACACATATCCTCAGAAAGGGCCAAATTCCCAACCTGCTCATTTTTTTTTTTTTTGACTCATTATGAATAAGTCCTAGAATGTTTCATTTGGACAAGTAGGGCTGCCTCCAAGAAGAACCTCTGATGTATCATTTCTTATGAAATATATGTGAAAGAATATGGATCTGGAAGATGCTGTAGACATCTGCCCTACACTTGAGATGATTCCCAAGGCTCTCTGGCACTTTTGAGTTCGGTCTGTCTGGTATGAAATGCCAAGGACCTTTTGCTGCCTAAACCCACTCTGCAGGAAATCAGCCCAACCACTAGATGAGAATTAGGCCCTGAATGAGTAGCGCTCTAGTTACTGTCCTGTTGATTGATTTCTGCCATTTCATGTCCATAAAAAAGACCACCAATATCATGCACACAATTAGATTTCTCACACTCCAACTGTATATTTGTATAATATTTTAAAATCTCCTAAATGCTGGGCAATGGCTGTTAACAATTAATTGCCTTGCACTGGCCTGATGAAATGTTAACAATGCCTACTGTAATATAGAAAAAAACATTCTATCTACTGATTTGGGCTGAATGTGTGTAAATAGGTTTCTAAAAAGGCAGATGTTTAAGCAGTGGCCTACAAATCAGTAATTTTCAGGTGGGAGAGTTTCTTTACATTGCTGTGGCATCTTAAAAGCTATCTTCATGTAAATTGACTGTACTAAGCCTACTGGGGATCAGAGTTCCCAAGAAAGGAAACCTTTTCTTTTAATAATACAAATCAAGATACCAGATTATCTGGATTCTTATTTCCAGTGTTTCAAGTGGAAAACATGACTCTTTATTGTCTGTAAATCTAACATTATTACTTTTCCTCTTAGAAGAATATTGTATTGTTAGATGTTTGTTGAGCCAGTAACATCGTTGCAACCGCTGCAATATCTTCGTTAGTAATCTGTATAATACTTTGTATACAAGTACTGGTAAGATTGTTATTAAATGTAGCTTCAGTCATTAAATTACTATAGCAAAGTAGTACTTCTGTAATATTTACAATGTATTAAGCCCACAGTATATTTTATTTCAATGATGTAATTAAACTGTTACTTATTCAAAGATAAAACATCTCATCATGTCTATTGTCCAAAGTTACCTGGAATCAAATAAAAATTCTAGATTGCCATGAAGAACACAAAATGCCTTTGAACTCTGCCTTATTTCACAGTCTGATGGTAAAACACTGGGATTTAATTTCTAAAAGATTGCCAAACTAATTTGTTTTTCAAAAAGCACTTACGACTTTACTTGAAAAGTGAGGACATATTGGATAATCTATTTATTTTTAACATAGGAAAAACACAAAAAGCTATTTTTTACACAATAAAGCAGAAAAGGCAATCATACATTTAAAAAGCATTCTTTCATTAAAGATTTTAACTGACTGCAGCAAATTAAAACAAACATACTATTCATAATGTGTAAATTAAATTGAGACAACATAGTACAACGTAAACTGAAAGAATTTATAAGCATTGTATATTTTGAAAAGAGGTAAGTGCTTTTCAACACAGTTTGTAAAAACTCATAATTTCTATTTGAACAATAAGAGAAACTACCTTTAAATTTTATAATGAAGAAAGCATTACAATGAAGCTTAAATATTATTACTGTCTGAAATAAAGTATGTTTGCAGTCAATTTTGAAAGATTTAGAAATTTTCAAGGAATTAAATATTTGAAAATAGATTATATTGAAATATTGAGAGTAGATTATCTTTTTTTTAATAACTATGGTCAAAAATTGATCGTTCTGCCTCTTTTAGTAAACACTGGCTAGGTGCATAAGCTGAATGCTTCCTAACAAAAAGCAAATGATAGGTATTCTTAGCTCTTAAATTTCATACTGGGACTTGATGAGAGAAAGATACTTAGTGTCTTCATAGAGTACCTTAAAACTCAAAAATGAATCCACAATCAATATGTGTTACTATCTATACTGAAATATACATTTGGAATAATGTAGAAATAAAATCAATTAAGACATGCAGAAACTCCAGATTGCCTCAGGGATGGTTCCAACTGGAAAGTTCCTGTGCTCATCTCCAGAACATTCTGTAAGAATTTTTCCTGGATTGAAGGTAATACATGTAAAGTTCTTGGCCCCATATTGGATTTTAGAAAATGAGCAATACAGATCATCATCATTTCTTTGCTCCCTGCCCCTGGAATGCTGATAGGAGAAATTTGGAGGGTATGTATCTGGTTAGCTTAGGAGATGGAACATGGAATGGGTGGGTCTCTGAACATCTCAGAAATGCTGGTCATTAAGTACTGTCAACCATTTCAAAAGTTTCTGTGTAATAGTAAATAACAAATACCTGGGCTTATAGACTACATCGTTTCCTGTGACATATCCAAAAAAGGGAATGACCAAAAGAAGTTGACAAATGGGAAGAGTGATTAAAATATTACAGTTGCAATCTTAGATTAAGAGAAATATCAGACACTAGGACTCCCAAGTATTAACTGCAGCACCTCCTTCATTACTTTGAACATGCTCAAATATTTGTAGAGAAACAAATAATTGTTCTCTTAACACTAAGAAATAGATGACTAATGCAGCACTTCACGTGTTTATTTTCATAATAATAGAATATATCTTTGGGTAAGCCTGATCTATTTGAAAATGTTTATATGTTCCTTGCTGAGTACACAATCTTTTTGGCTAATATCAGAATCGTGACAAATGTCAAAGATACCCAGCTTTGACCCAGGCAGCCACTGGGTTGGAAGGAATGCTGGAGGAGGAATTATCAGGTGTGTAGATGTAGACTTGATTACAGTGGAATTGTAGAAGTGTGTGCTCACTTTCTGGCTGTTTAGACTCAAGCCACTACCTCTGATTTGATTTTCTCATCTATAAAAATGCCAGCTCTGAAAATAGCAGTAACATCAGATGGTATAAAGTGTTTTGAAGAGCTTTGAAACCTGCAAAAGTCTACAACCATGTAAAGTATTAGAATTAATCTATGTTGGAATACTTCATTTTGTCTTAGTTATTCAGTTAATGTCTACAACAGTTCTTTAGCTAATGATCAAGACAAAAGACACTATATTTTCTGCTATGGTTCTACTGCATGTCAGCCATTGTGCCGGCATCTTACATACATTATTTAACTCTCACAGCATCCCTATGATCTCTTTTATTGACATCATGTTATAAGCAAAAGGAAAACTTAGTGAGGTAAAGACAAGACAGCTATGGTTAGAACCCAGGACTTCCTGACTCCAAAGCCCAAATTATTTTTATTAAGCAGTGCCTCCTTTTATTCACTTGTCATTCAGTTAAAGCCATATATTCCACAAGTATTTATTGAAAATTTCCCACATGCTAACAAATTTAAAGATGAAAATCACCACCTCTACCTACCAGAATGCCTAGTAATAATAATGTCCAAAATTCTAACATCTTACAGTATATTTCTACATATGTAGGGTCAAAGAGGCCAAGTATCTTATCCAAATTCACATGGCTAGTTAGTAAGTTGCTTTTGAATACAAACCCAGGTCTTTTGTCTCTAAACTCTGGATCTTTCCATCCTACCACATTGAAAGGGAGCATGGGTGTGATGAGGTACATGTTTCTATTTCCTTTCCTTCACTTTCCAGACAGCAGCAATTCAAAAACTTTGTCAAATATATTCTAGATGTCAAAATAAATTAAATATGTGTTCTTTGTTACTTGGCCTCATATGAATCATCGCACACCTTGGATAGCTGAAAGAGTGGCTGAGGGGAAGTTGGATTTATTTTATCCACAGAGCCAGGCACGGAAATGATTCCTGATCCCACCTACAGTAGCTAGTTTTACGGCCCTTTGGCCACTTTCTTGTTTTGATTTTAACTCACTTATTTACATAAATAAATAAATACTTGTCTTTTATTTTTAACTTGTACATAGGATAAGTCATCTAGGAAATAATACTCTGATAGTCAAATGTAAATTGTGAAAATTGTAAAACACAATTTAGCAAGTATTTACTGAGAACCTACCTCATACTTGGCATTAATAACAATGGTAGTATCTATCTCATTTAGTATGAGATGAATCATCTCATTTAATCTTCTCACCCACTCTGTGAGGTATTAATATTCCAGCTTGACAGACAGTAGCCTGCTGAAGATCACACAACTAGTAAGTGGTATAGCTCAGATTCACTCTTAGCTATTAGATTACTGAGGTGAGACCCATAAATCAATTTCCATATAATCGAACTGTGCTGTGCATATATCCTGTTCAACTCAAGCAACATTTAACCATCAAATTACTTAAGATCTAATGAAAGTAGGTAAGCACTTAAACAGATAATTGCAACACAACGCAATCACTGCTAAAATGGAGGAAACTATGGGAAGGTAGAAAGGGTACCAATACCTGACTTAGGAAGAAGAAGTGATACTTGAATAGAGCACTGAAGACCAAGTAGGAGCTAGCTATGAAAAGAAGAAAGGGAAAAATGGGGATAAACGATGCTATGAGGAGATAAATTATGGTGAGTTGGGGATGAGAGAGGAGAGATGTAAGAGAGTGTGATACATCCGGTGAATGACACGTAGTCTCATGTGTCTGGAACATGGTACCTGGAGGAGAGTAATGAGGATAGGAGGGGGTGGTGGCAGATAACCAAGGGCCATAGATACTAAGGTGATTAATTGTTCTTGGTGCACCTGCACTGTGATTTACAGAGGTCTGGGCAGATTCATAATATTAGCCAAAAGGGTCAAAAATAGCTTTTAGATAGTTTTTTCCTAGTTCTGCTAGTTCAAAGCATTGTACATATCTGTAAAAGTATCACTTCCTCCTTGCCCAGAAGAGCGTCTGGGGTGGGGGTGGGGACTCTATATCTTGTTTCCACATTAACTGGCTGCATGTTTTCCCTCTTGATGCATTACTGTCATTGCTAGAAAGTGGATTATTCACTTGGAACAGAGGGACATCAATTAACTCCCCACACATAGCAGAGTCATCAGTCACAAAGTGTTCTTGGTCATTATTCACCTGGGCTGGGGCAAACCCTCTGATCTCAAGATGACGGGGACCGTATTGAGCGCTAGCCCTTGGGACTTCCAACCCTCTGCCCTCCTGCCCCTTTTGCAAATAAGATTATTGCTGCTGCTACTGCTTGGTTTGCCTGAAGGGATACAGAAATCCTTCAGGGAACAAATAGATAAGGGCCGAAGGGAGAATCTTTTTAAACTGTCCAAAGCAACCCAACCCTTCACCTGACCCAACTGTACTTATTTCCTTCATATTGAGTAACACAGACTGCTTTTCAATTAGGAGTTTGAGTTCACAAAGGAAGGAAAAAACTGAACACATCTTTGAATTACACTGCAAGGAGGGGAGTAGAGCTTTAAAATATCCTGGCATTAACCCTTTTCTAAATCAACTGCACATTTCACAGCTTTTACAAAGATTTTACCATAAACATTTCACACAATTTTTTGTGTAAATTTTGTGTCTTTTTAAGTGAGAGGGAGCTTTGCCATATATTTTTGGACCAATTTTATTACTAGCACCTACAAACCTAATAATAATTTTTCTAGTTGTTCATTAACAATCTGATTATTCTACAAAGGGACACAGACCCTTTAACCATTAAATTTAGCCCCTGATTGCTCGTCATGTTAAATCCCAATCTTTCTAACCTGGCTGGCTATGAGAAATTTGTCTTCCCCCGTAATCCAGTGTGGATATTTTAAAGTGTTTGTACCCTCCCACTGATTGGGAGAAAAGCCTTAGAAAACATTCTCCAGTTCTTAAGAGAGGGAAAACTCCTATGTGTTTCATCATTATTTACCCAAATTAGATAGATTCAAATATTCCTTGGAATGACCCAGAATAGGCCACATTCACTGCAAAATGCCGCTATCTCCCAGGGGGCCTCTCAATCCCCCTGGGCTCAAGATGGACATGTCATCGTTGCAGCAAATATGGTTCAACAAAGATCTTGGTGCAGTTGCCCCTCCCAGAGAGCCCTCCAAGAAGATGGTCCCCATGTGAATTGACTTCCTCCAGAGCCTCATTTCTCACAGCCATTACTATTAGGTGCAAGTAGAGGGAAAACAACAGAGTTCTTACGTAAAGGTAGGACTGTTGGTAGTATTTTCTTTAGTGATGATTCTGA